AAAAAATTGTTCATGTTCGTTCATTTATTAAATAAACGAACATAAATGAACTTCCTGCCGAACGGTTCATGAACGGTTCGCTGAACGTTCGGTTCGTTTACAGCCCTACCGATTATCAGAAGGGAATTGAGTGTATTGCTCTACACTCATTTTCCATTGTTCGAGTGGTCCGTACAACCCTCGAACCCAATTGATTTTCTTATTTATTTCTCAATTTTTGACTTGATGATATTATTTTAATTATTATCTTTTATTAACTCGATTTATACTTGCAATCTTGTTATTTTAATTATCCGTTCACTGAGCATTTGGCTCAGCCGAGGTTTGTTTTGTCCTCGGCAGGTACATGATCGTAGGTGGGATTATCACGGGACTGAGAGCGATGGAATATGACTATTTTGAAAACGACCTTGGATAGTATAGTAGTTTTTGTTTATGCATATATTGTAATTGTATCCGTGTTGTCTTAACTTTTAGTCTACCACCTTCTTTTGATGGATGTACATAGTAGATCTGGTTTTCCTGTATATATATTAGCTATTTATCTTGTTATGTTTTCCTCCATAACACGCCATCCTCCAGCCATGCGGGACAAGGGTGTTACACAAGAATTCAAAAATGAAGCGTTAATAAGTTGTACTTATGTATAATTTACTTGTAATCTTGAATTTTAAGTAATATGCATTAATTAATAGTATTTTATGCATTAAAAATGGTTTTGAATTGTTTTTGTCAAATGCTTTATAATATAGTATAGATACGTAAAATCATTTAAATTTGGACCCTTTCTCTAACAACAATTAAACAATTTCGTTAAATGAGAAATATTTTTTATTTTTTTTTATCGATTTCTTTTTCCTTTACCCAATTAAAAGCCACTCAATATTTATTGGTTAAAAGACAAAAAAAAAACCGATAAAAGAACGAAAATACTAGTCATTTAGCATAATTTTTAACAGGTGTTATAAAGAAAAATCAAATCCGAATGTTTTTGCAAACCAAAATGATTATCCTGTAATTTTAAACTCGAAAAGTGATATCGAAGAACCAAAATTTGCAATCTATATCTATACTATATTATAAAGCATTTGGCTAAAACTCTTAAAAACTCTTAAACTCTTAAAACTCTTAAACCCGTTCATTCCTATCCGATTTTATCCCATAACTAAATTCGTGTAACTAACTGCAGATAAACACAATCAAATACAGGATAAACATCTCATTTTAAATATAAAAAATCTAAAATATAATTAGGATAATCATTGAG